TATTGGTTCTCTGTCTTTTTTTAAATTGTTTCACCTGATCTTTTCTTACTGAATCAGTTTCTTTTTGCAAATTGTTATAAAAGATATTTATAACGATACGAGATCCATATTTTATACCCAACTCTTGGTGATTGTCACAAGTAAAATCAACACTGCTGTAATAATTTTTAAAAATTTGTTCTGCAAAACTTTTAATTGAAAAAGAATAACTGCAATGTTATTCTTTTTCAATTAAAATTTTTCAATGGAGATATGACATCTAAAATACTAAAAAGATGACAAATATAATCAGACAGAGGTTGACTTGGACATATAAGTCCACCTCTGGATAATATTTTCAAGTATTCATTATTAAGAATATCTTGGTCTGTAGATACCATTTTTTGATTACAAGTATGACATCCAAATTTTTTTTTCAACTTTTTTGCGACATACCCTGCTATTGTAACAGCAACTTCCATGCTATCTTCAGAAAGCTGACACTCTAAAATCTCTGTAGACAACAAATCAATTTCTTGCATAATATTTTCTAAACTAGAATTATCAAATGTCTGATAAATATTTTCTTCCCAGAAATTAATATCTTCCTTTAGAAGACTTCTTACTGCCGAAATTTTTTCACTATTGCATACTTCTAAAAGACTCACTAGAAATCTGCCACCACTCATTTGTCTATACTTACTAAAACGTAGCTCCAAAGGATCACTTTGTAACCTGGAAGTAAGAACATATGTATAGTCTTCTTCAAGCAAATCATCGATAAGAGATAAGAGCAAGAGAAGTTTGTTTGGAAAATGTAAAATAATCACATTTTGACCAAATATCAATACAATTTGCAATTTCTCTATAAAATGTGGGCTTGTTATCAACCTTCACGGCAGCATTGCCAAGTTGATTGGATGTATTAAATTTCTGCTTTGAATTAAGTGTGGTGAACAACTTATGAAACAATGATAAAAATTGTGCTGCATCATTTCTTTCAGGAAAATAACTTAGTATTGCAGCTGTAGTTGTTTCATCAAATATTGCCAATGCAAGGTTGACATCTTGTTTGTTATTTCCAGGATGAGTGACCTGATAATTGATTTTTCTCGCTTTTTTTAAGTTGCCGTTTAATAACTGATCTTTTTCATAGATATTATGAAATAAACTTCATGCTATGTAACCAGCAGGAACTTCAACTTTGTCTTTAAACAAATCAAATGAAAAAGAAGGAAAAACATATTTTATTGCATTTAACAAGTTATTTCTAACATTTTTTATTAAATGGATTATATCGAACAACAAGTATGTTTTTAATACTCCATTGTAAACTGGATGACATATAAATAACTTTCCATCTCCATTATATGCTTTATGAAACTCTGAAAATGCACTAACATTGGTAGAATGATTATCTGCAACAACAGCTCTTACTTTAAATCCAGATTGGTGCAATGAGATAATGCATTCATCAATTTCTTTTTTTAACCATGAACCTGTTATATACACTTCAGGTGATGATCTCACAACATAAGGAATAGATTTTTGAAGCCCAACAATCATAAAAACAACAATACCTTTATAAAGATTACTTTCTGAATCTTCACCAACATATTTCCCACTTTGATATTGGGCTGCTTTTTGCAAATACATTTCATCCACAAGAAGCACACAGTCACTTGATACACAATTTTTTTGTAACAAAACTTTTATAGCCTTAAATGCATTTATATCACCACTTTGAATTTTTCTTAATAAACTAAAAGATGGTAAGGGTAATTGTTCTAACAACAACTTATATGACTGTGCTGAAGTGCGACGTAAAATTAATGCATAACGTATAACAGACGCAGAATATAACGGAATAACGTATAACAGACGCAGAATATGTAGGTCTGCCTTGTGGAGAATAGTATCTTATTTCATTTAGCTCTGTCAAAATTGAATTAAAAGCATTAGCTTTATTTCGAATATGGGCAGGAAAATTTTCTATCATACTACAGTTTGTTAATTTGCAATTATGACCACTGCGAAACCATTCAGGTAAAGAAATAAGATATCCTTTATACGACAATGAAACATTAAGATCTTTATTAACTGTTATTGACTCAAACACAGTTGGTATACCTGATATTTAATCAAAACAGAGTTTATAGAAAACAACACTATCGTGAAGTTTCTTAAATGTAAATCCTGGTGGGCAATGCTGTTCTTTTAATGAATTAAGACTAATTATTTTATCAATATTTTGAAAATCACTGAACTCATCTTTCCCAAGTATCTTAAAGTTGGTTCTTTTCTAGGCAACTTTGGCACCCTTAAAGTTGATGAACTACTTTTTGTATCTGTGTGAATAGTTGGAACAGGTTGGAGATCCCATTTCATGGTGCATCTTTTCCCATATTTAATAAATTTATCCTCGAAATGATCAATACAAATAGCAGAGTATTTAGATGGAAGCCAATCTTTTCTATTGACAAAATATATCCATCGTTCTCGCAAACTGCTTTCTTCAGGAAAATGAAATGTAGACTTTTTTGGACCAGTAGAGTAACCAGTTTTACAGTTTGTGACAACACATTTGTTAACCATTTTTATAACTAAAAAAAATTTCAAAAACTACAATAATATTGAGATTTCTTACATTTATAATTGAAGTTATCTCCACTTGAATAACATTGCATAAAAAAAGCAGTTCGACTGTATAAAATATACCAAGTAGACTGTCTGTAAGTCTATTTTATTATTCCACTCTCTAATGGATTATAATGAAACAGACAATCAGTCGGAATATAATCAGAAATATATACTACATGAATATGAAAATATAAACCAAACTTTGATATAATAATTGTAATAATCACATTATTTTAATTATTAAATATTGTTAGTTGTCTTATAATAGAAAATAAGCCGTAAAAAAACTGGCCTCTTAATTTTTTACGGAAAATGCAACAAATCAGGCCGTGTAATTATAGTAGGCCATGATATGTATATATATATATATATATATATATATATATATATATATATATATATATATATATATATATATATATATATATATATATATATATATATAAATATATATATATATATATATATATATATATATATATATATATATATATATATATATTAAATGTATAATATTATAAACAAAGTTTGACATGTAATGTAAAACTTTGTATATAAAATTATAAAAATACATATTATTAGGATATTAAATCAAAAATTATCAATAGAATTTATATTTCATCAAAAAAGGTTAGTTTTAAAGTGGTTTAGTTTTAAAGTGGTTACCCTGTAAAAATTAAAACCCTTTCATTTGGAGAAAGTTGCGTTAATCGCAAATATTTGTCTAAAACAAAGTTAAAATATTTACAATTTTGATTTCCTCGTTCTACCATAATTGTATATTCATACCTCATAGGGATTTTTTTGGAAATCAACATAAACTTTTTATCTAATTTTTATAGACCATGAATTTATGATCAAAACTTAACTTTACTGTTAAACAAATATTGCGCATCCAACAGATTTTTAAAACAGTTATTTTATGAGATTCACAATATGTTTAAACTTAAAGTAATTTTTGATAACATTGCACGTTTTATAAGTTAAATGCATCAAACGAGTTAAATTACTATAAACAGATTTTAACAAAACTGTTTAGTGCCTAATGTTATATATATATATATATATATATATATATATATATATATATATATATATATATATATATATATATATATATATATATATATATATATATATATATATATATATATATATATATATATATATATATATATATATATATATATATATATATATAAGATATATATATATATATATATATATATATATATATATATATATATATATATATATATATATATATATAAGATATATATGTTATATAACATATAACATATATATATAACAAAGTAGCACTAATTTAGTAACAATTTTCAAATAAATAAAAACTTTTTAAAACTTTTTAACAACACATTTTATCAATAGCAATTGACATCATCAGGTATAAAAAATTAGTTAGAATTTCTGATTATAAACAATTTTTTTTGGTTGAAGCCACCACTTCAACCAAAAAATATTGTTTTTATTCACTACATAATTTGTTTTAGACACTACATAGCAAGGATTTCAGAACATTTAAATTTAGATAAGGCTTCCCATATTTACAAACATCTTACTTCATCACAAAAATGCAAAATTTCAACTAATCTTTTTATTATTAATTACTTCACACCTTTTAAATATTATTTTGTAAAATCTCTAGGTAAATATTTATTTTATAAAAACGCGACTATGGTAAAAACTACTAAAATTTTTAATGCAGCCAAAAAAATTGTTTACATACAGAAATTGTAACTAATTTTTTATACCTGATGATGTCGATTGCTGTAGATGTTTTAAAAAAGTTTTTAAGAAATTGTTATTTATTTGAAAATTATATGTATAATTTTTAAATAAATAACAATTTTTTTAAACCAAAAGCCATAGATCTTTATTGATGCCTGCATTATATATATATATATATATATATATATATATATATATATATATATATATATATATATATATATATATATATATATATATATATATGTATATATATATATATATATACATATATTTATATATATATATATTTATATATATATATATATACATATATATATATATACATATATATATATATATACATATATATATATATATATATACATATATATATATATATATATACATACATATATATATATATATATATATATATATATATATATATATATATATATGTATATATATATATATATATATATATATATATATATATATATATATATATATATATATATATATATATATATATATATATATATATATATATATATATATATATATATATATATATATATATATATAAAGATCTATGGCTTTTGGTTAAATAAACCGAGCAGTTACACAGAAAAAGTATAAGTCAAAAAAGGAAAAGCACTAATAAAAATATTTAAGTTTTTGATACAGGTTTTATTCGAATCTTTGGAGAAATCAAGTTCATGCACAGGGGCGGATCCAGCATTCTTTTGAGATAACTTCCAGCCATTGAGAAAACTCTAAACATTTATATGTTTGTGCTTATGTCAAACAAAAACGATTTGCAAAATAATGCAATGATTGGAATCTGGCAACAAAAAAATCACAAATTTTTCTCCCCTCCCCAAATTTTAAAGCAACAAGTTGAAAAAAATTTTTTTTTTTCTTTTTTCATTAGACTTATATTCATCAATAAATTTTAAGTTTTATAGTAAAATCTTTCAGCATTCAAAAATTATGGCTACATATGGTTATTACAAATATGGTTACAAAGTTTGAAGCCCTTCAAATTGAGGTGGATACAAATTTCAAATTTGCATAATTTTTGACATAAATATAAACATATAAATGCTTGAAGTTTGTTCCATGACTGAAATTCAAATACTTAAAAATGCTGGATCTGCCCCTGTTTATGCAGCCATAAAATTACTATATATTTTAAAAAAAGTTTTATACTCGAAATTAAAACCCACAATATTTAAATATAAAAGTTTGCAAAAAATCAGATTTTTGTTAATTGTGTTTAAAGTTGTGTAAAAAAATTTTTTAATGACTTAAAATAGTTTTTAAATGTGAAACAAAAAAAGTGATTAGAATCATATTATGTAATTGAGTTATTGGTATATGTATTGATTATAGTTGTATATTGGTATAGTTATTATATTGGTATAGTTATTGGTATATGTATTGATGATATATGTATTGAGTTTTAAAAAATTTCAATTTTACTTGAAAAATCCAAAATTTCAGTGGAATTATATTTTTCCACACCATATAAATCAGAATCTTCATCTAATATAAGAAAAGTCGGTATTATAAAATCCCTGATACACATTTTTCTTTCTCGTAGAAGTATTTTATACTTTATTCTGTTTTGTTTTAAAAAAGCCTTTTTCCATAAATCTTTAACAAATACTTTAATTGATACAGATTTTTTTAAATGTCTAAAGAAAGAAATGTAGGACATATCAACCACAAGCAAAATGATGTGCAAAGCTAAGAGAACACTAACAACAATAAAAGCACTCAAAATTAAAATAAATAACAACGGTAATTCTCCACTTTGAAAACAAAAATGCATACTCAATGCAGGATATATCAACGATATATCCGAAATGTGATGATCATGCAAATAACATGTATAAAAAAGAGAATAAGTCATAATAGTTCCATAAATCAATCCAATCCAGCTAAAAATCAAAAAAGAAAAGTAATATGCATAGTTATTTAAACCAATGCAGTTGTTAACAATAGAACTGTGATGACATAACATTCTTATACAAGTTCCACATTTCATGCAATGATGAGTTCCATAAGATCTAAGACGGTTACAACAACTACAAAACTCATTTATACCAGTTAAATTTTTGCTGGTATCGCTGTTTATGTTTAGATCTTCTTTGCTCGGTGGTACTCCAGCATTGAACCTCATTGCAGCAAAGTAATTAAAAGTAACCATAACCCATAAGTATATTGCAAAAAAACAGTGCACAAAAATTAGTAACTTTGAGGTACCTGACTGAAAGTTTGAAGGTAAAATTTTGATAAAATAAATTAATGGAGAAAATATTATAAATATTATTACAGGGAAACAATTGACTAAAGCCTTCGATATTTTATAAATTCTTCTGGAATGTAAATTCGGAAATATTTTCTTGAAATTTTTTACCATAAGGATTGTTTGTAAAACAATAAATATTACAAAAAACGCTGAAACGGCTCCCATGTTTGTTTTCACTGTCGTTAAGAAATTAGCTTTACCAATTAAAAAATTGGCTTTTGATTTTAATCGTTTTCGTTTACTCGACAATTGTTCGCTCTGTTATAGGACACTTTTCACTGTTTTAAACAATAACAAACATGGCCGGTCGTTAACTGAGCGTGTGATTGTTAAATGAGGCTCACCCAACTGGAAAATATGCTGAAAATACTCAGGTAAGATTTTTTTTATTAAACTGCATGATTGATTGATTCTAAAGAAATAAATATAGAAATTAAGGTGTTCTGCAAAGTTTATAAATAACTGCAAAATGCACAGAAAAAGTACTACTTCTTGTAAAACCCTCATACCATTGTAATTACGATTTATAAACAGAATGATTTTAGCCCTTTTAAGGCTACTGGTTTTGTTAAGGGGAATTATAATATGTTTTTGCAATGAAGATAGTACAAAGATTCATTTTACAAATTCCTGGGCAGTTCATATTGAAAAAGGAAATACTCAAATTGCTGATGAAATCGCAGAAAAGCATGGATTTAATAATCTTGGACAGGTAAAGTTGAACTAGGTATTCCAAATGCCTAAAAATTCAATGAAACTTGAAAAATGTAGCTTTCCAATAAATATATGTTTTTAATTTTATTTTATTATCTAGTACAAGCTTATGATATAAAGATATAACATTTTTCAATAAGCACATTGCCTACCATCTCACTTAACAATTTAAATTTACTACCTATTTTTTATTCAATTTAGTTATATAATTTCATTTTTTTTTTAAATTTTATATAGCATTTTTTAAATAGAAGCTATTTAAAAATGCTATATATAAATGTTCTTATATATAAAGTATAGATTAGGAAAAATTAGGTTTTACAGAACTTTATATATTTTATATTAACTATATTATTATCTATTACTTGTTATATTGAATAATACCTATTATATTCCAGACTTATGTTTGCATGAAATTCTACTAAAATCAGGTTAGGCAATGTCTTTTTGGTATACATTACTGAAGGAGTTCTATTACAGTTAAAGCTTATATTTTTACTTATATGTATTATGAAAGATTGTTTTTTTTTTTGTATTAAAAATATATTTAACAGAAAAAAAATTTTTTAACAGATAATTGCAAATAGCATGAAATTAATTTGAGTAAAAATCATGTCGCTTTGTTTTCATTACATGACTTATGCGTGTACTAAATATTGGACAGTTGAACTTAAACTAGACTTAAATTAATCATAACAGTTGAACTTAAACTAGACTTAAATTAATCATAAAAAATTCATGAAAACACTGAGTTGTAATTTTTTTTTGTGTGTGTGTGTATATATATATATATATATATATATATATATATATATATATATATATATATATATATATATATATATATATATATATATATATATATATATGTAGTTATTTGTATTGTATAAGTATTTGTGATAATACTTAGTTTATCATTTGATATCCACACTTTCAATCTTTATAATAAATTCTATCATAATATATATACTTATATATGTTTTTTTAAAGCTATCTATTTGTGCTGTTTTTTATTAGATTGGTACACTTCCTGGGTATTTTCATTTTGTTAAGAAAAATTTCAAGAGTAAGCGAAACAGAAGATCAAGTACTGTAGAAGATGTAAATCTACTTTCTGAAAAAAATGTAAATTTATAATATATTTTATTAACTTAATAAGTTTTTTATATTTAATTAGATTCAAATACATGACTTTTCTTTTTTGTTTTTTTGGTTGCTGTGTTGTATTAAAATTTAAATATTGTGAATAATAGATTATTATTTGAGTGATTTTTGTTACTTCCTAATTTGCTTCATGTTTTTTTTCATACATTTTGTACCAAAATATGATACTCAATAGTTTTTACTTTGAATTTTTAAATTTTTGATTGATTGAAAGCACTTTTCTGTTCACAAGTTTTATTTTTTTATTTGCTTGTAACACATATGAATATATATTTTTTTAATTTCAATATCAATTATATGAGAAAATTAATAATAATGAATTAGTAGTGTGCATATTGAATATTGATTTTTATTCTGATCTAGGTTCGATGGGTTAAGCAGCAACATGTTCTGGAAAGAGACAAACGTTCTATTGTCCCTGAATATTTACAAATTGTTCATTCTGTTGGATATACCGTTCAAGACCCACTTTATAATGATCAGTGGTACTTGGTAATATTTTTTTGTCTGCTAGGTATTTTAAATCTACACAGTTTTTTTTTTTAATTTATTATAATATTTGATTTAAAAAGTGTTTTTAAATTTCAGAATAATGTTGGCCAATCAAGTGGCCCATCTGGAATGGATATTAACATTATCCCTGTTTGGTCACGTGGTATTTCTGGAAAAAACATTGTTGTTGCTGTTTTAGATGATGGTATATAGTTTTATTTTTTATTAATTTATTATTTCAGTGTTTAGATCAGTTGGCAATTTTAAGCTTGCACCATAATTTCCATACAAGAAGTCATTATTTTGTGTTTGAATTTTAACAATTTTGATTAGTTGCTTTTTAAATTTTCGATTTGTAGAAAATAACTTTTTTAATAGCATTAATTCCAATAAATTTAAAAGTTGTTTCTAGATTTAAAAATTTATTAACTTATTATTTTAATATAAAATTTATTGTTAGAGTTTTTACTTTTTATTCTTTTATATGTGTTTTTGAATACATAATATGATTATTCTTCATTAGTGCAAAAATTTTTAAGTCATTTGTATGGGTAACAAAGCTTGCTGAAAATTCAATAAAAATTTTGTTTTTATGTTAAAAAAAAAAATTAAATAAAAATTATAAAAATAGTTTAAGTTGCTGCGCTTCCCTCTCTCCAGTAACAGTTGTGTATAAAAGCTTTTGGTGCTACCACCAATACTTACACCACCTACCAATCTACAATAAAGATAAATAAGATTTAAGGATCGAAATAAGTTAAGAAAATCAAATAGTTCAAACAACGTAGCTCTAAATGAAAACTTAAATTATAGACAACCCAATTAACTAATCTAACTATAGTTGAGAAGGGATTAGGTTAGGACTGGAAATAGATCTGGGTGCCAGATGAGTTGCATATGGTGTAAAGATATTGCAGCAAATTAAATCTGGTTTTTTATTGAGATTGTCATGGGACTCCTGTGAATGGTTAACCGCTAGTTAGAAGATGAGATGCAAAGGAGTTTTCATCGAATTAAATCTTTGATTCGCAAGGTTGTGACGAACTTGGAGAAAAAAAAAATTGTCAGCTTTGGCACTTTACTTAAACAGTTTCATGGGCTGCTTTAGAGCCTTAAGCTAATTTTCTTCCCTGAGCACCTGAAACTATTTCTTTTATTTTCAACATAAAAACTTTGCATTGTAAATAAAAGAAATTGTTTAAAAATATATTTAAAAAAATATTTTTGAAATGGACTAAAAAAGTAAGTAAATATATAATATATTTTAGGCAAGTTTTAAAAATGAAATTTTTTTGAAATGGACTAAAAAGTTAAAAATAAACTATTTCTTGGGAATCAAGGACTTTGTGCACGTATACAACCTGAAGTATCCATAAAAGTCAATGACTGAAAACATTGGATGCCCAAGATTTTAAATGGTAAAAATATTTTATGAAGTCATGGAGGCTGCTGAAAAAAATTAATTTTCCAAGGCATCCCACAGGCTGTGGCACTCGGTGCAGCTTGCCTTTAGTCAGGTCCCCCCCCCCCCCTAGGGACAGCCCTAAGGGTTGGCATTAAGTCAGCAAAAAAAAAATTGACACAAAGGTCTCACCATAAAACATAGAAATAAGGTTGGCAGTTTTTTTCTGACTTCAAACAATTTTTGACAGTTACGTCGGCATTGCCAAATTTCAACCCTAATCCCAAGGGATATATATATATATATATATATATATATATATATATATATATATATATATATATATATATATATATATATATATATATGTATGTGTATATATATATATATATATATATATATATATATATATATATATATATATATATACCCAATAAACAGATGTCTATTTAACTGTCTATTTAAATTCAAAATGTCAAAATTTAACTTAAACTTTATATAAAATTAAAGGGAAAATAACCTTTTTTTGTGAAAAAATTACATTTTTTCACAGTTACGTTGGAATTGCCAAATTTCAACCCTAATCCCAAGGGATATATATATATATATATATATATATATATATATATATATATATATATATATATATATATATATATATATATATATATATATATATATATATATATATATATGTATATATATATATATATATATATATATATATATATATATATATATATATATATACATATATATTTATATAAAATTAAAGGGAAAATAACCTGTTTTTGTGAAAAAATTACATTTGATTGGCAAGCTTTGAAAAACTATTTAGAGCGCTGATATATATATATATATATATATATATACGCACACTCTATATAGTGTTAATATAAACTATTATATATATACACACACTCTATATAGTGTTAATATAAACTACTATTTTTTACCAGGGCTTGATCACACTCATCCAGATCTGAAGAGGAACTATGTATGTTATATATTTTGCATTTTTTTGGCTCAATTGTTTTTTACATTGTTTACATTAATTAAATATATGCTTTCAAATTTTTTACAACCTTAACTTTTTTTTTAATATTTTAAATTTTTACTTTTATTATTATAAATATTTTAGCAATTTCTAATATCATAAATTTTTATTTTATTTTGTGTTTTATATTGAAGTTACATAAGTTATAAAAGTTTATTGTGGACTATTTGAGGACTCCTATATTTTTTGTAATATACTCTTTTTATTATCTTATCTTAAGAATTGGAAAACATTAGAATTTTATGTCTTCCACATAAATATGTTTTAGGATCCAAAAGCTAGTTACGATTTTAATGATTATGATGAAGATCCAATGCCTCGTACATCCGATCCTAATAATTGGTAAAATAAAGACTAATATTAAATAAAAAACACAAAAATATTTTTAATGTTCTTGTCTTTAAGTGAAAGTTTTTTTTTTCAAGTCACGGTACAAAATGTGCTGGTGAAGTTGCTGCTGAGGCTGGAAATGGAATATGTGGAGTTGGTGTGGCTTTTAACTCTAGTGTTGGAGGTAATTAAAAAAAAAAATTTATGTTTTAGAAAAAAAATTCAAAAAGTACTAATTTGTTGGTTGAGGCATGCAATCTATAAAGATTTTTTAGTTTGTATTTAATTTTTTTTTAATAAAAAAAATTTAGTAAAAAACTCTTCAATAAATAGTAAAAAACTCTTCAATACTTCTTCTTAATCTTTTGAAATTTTAATACTTCAGGTATTCGAATGTTAGATGGAAACACCACGGATACCATTGAAGGAAGTGCGTTAAGCTTTAAAAAAGATTATATTGATATCTACAGTTGTGCATGGGGACCTAAAGATGATGGAAAAAGATTTGGAAGACCTGGAACTTTAGCTAGTAAAGCTTTAGAACTTGGTGTAAAAGAGGTATAAGTAATACTTTAAATTGTTATTTTTCAATGCCCTTTCTCTTTTAGACAAGGTGCAAAAATGCATTGTAAACATAGTTGGACCTGCTCTTGCAGCCAACCTTCTACCATTATCACATCATCGTAATGTTGCTTCTCTTTCTCTTTTCTACAAATACTATAATTGGCACTGCTCTAAAGAGCTAGCGTCTCTTGTGCCATCTACTAAAATTCATTCTCATGTTACTTGTCATTCAATTAAGTCTCATCCTTTTTCTGTGACTGTTACTAAGTGCTCCAAAAACTTTTATTCCTCTAGTGTTTTTCCTCAAACATCTGTCAATCGTTATCTTGCTCTACAATCTTCATCTTCTCTCTTCCAATAACTTCCAACTCTAATTAGTGGTTGCTTGCAGCCTTGTTGGAAGCGAAGATGTTTTGAAAAAAAAAATGTTTATTAGTTCAACATTTATGTTCTATTTAGGGAAGAAATGGTCTTGGGTCTATATTTGTTTGGGCAACTGGAAATGGTGGTTTGACTGATGATGATTGCAATTGTGATGGATACACAACAAGTGTTTATACAATATCTGTAGGTGCAATAAGTGACCATGGTTTATCAACCTACTACACAGAAAGTTGTGCTTCTACTTTAGCTGTAACTTTCAGTGGGGGATCTCATCGTGAAAAGAGAGAGAATAAAATTGTAAGAAGTTTTTATGTTATTAAATTCATTAAATTTTAAATTTAATTAAAGTAAAAAAGTTTTTAGATTAAATTGACTGTTTGGTTACAACTGTTTGAACACATTCAGTTTGGGATATCATAGCTAGTTATTTATTAGAGCAGCTAGTTTAAAAAAAAAAGAGACACTAAAGTTTTTGGTTTGGCATTATAAATGAAGAAACTCATTAGTGCTATTTTAAAAAACAGAAATACTCTTAGTTGTATAAATATTTGACATAAATCTGGTTATTAGAGACTCTAAAACAACTTGATCAAAAGAAAGAAACTGGTTAGTCGAGGCTGAAATAACTTGACAATAAGAAAGAAACTGGTTAGTTGAGACTCTGAATTAACTTGACAATAAGAAAGAAACTAGTTAGTTGAGACTCTGAATCAAATTGACAATAAAAAAAAAACTTTTGTCAACTTGATGAAGAGTTCATAGTTGAGATCATGAAATATTAATATTATTATTACTTAAAGTTATAATTTTTTAATATATTTATCATTATCAAAATTTTTATTTTAAATCATAGTAAATTATTATAAATATTGGCTATGATTTTTATTTGTGAAATCCAATTTTATATAGGTATAAGTATTTGAATGAATTTTTAGAATTATATAAATTAATTTATAAAGACATAAATATTTATGAATAATCTATTTCACTCTAGATACTTTTCAAGAAAAATTCTTTTTTTTTTATCAAGGTTAAAATATTTTTTATATAGATTACAACAACCCTCAACCACAAATGTACAGATGAATTTAAAGGAACTTCATCTGCAGCTCCATTAGCAGCAGGAATGATTGCTCTCATGTTAGAAGCAAAGTTAGTTTTTTTTTTTTAATTTAACATCTTAAATTGAGTTATTTTATTTTGATTAACAAAAAAAAATTTAGAATAACTTTGAAAATTTTTTGTTATTGTTTTTATTACTATTTCATCCAAATATAAAACAAGGATTATTTTTTTTTAGCCGCAAACTAACATGGCGAGATGTACAACATATCATTGTAGAAACATCATTAATGACCAGCCCACTTGATGAAGGCTGGCGTAGGAATGGTGCTGGAAAATGGTTCAATCAAAAATTTGGATTTGGACGCATGGATGCAGCTTCTATGGTTGAAAAAGCTGATACCTGGTCCAATGTGGCTGAACATAGAATGTGCTGGAGTGATAAGAGTGTAGGGCCCTGGTAACGAAAATTCTGCTAGTTATAACGTTTATTCTTTTAAAAAATTCACTCTCATTTTTGTTGGTCTATATATATATATATATATATATATATATATATATATATATATATATATATATATATATATATATATATATATATATATATATATATTTATATATATATATATATATATATATGGTTTTTGTTATTACTGGTATGAATTTTTTCTCATGTTTTTAATTTTGTGTTTAGGGGCATTCCTAGTGCTGGCACTATTGCAGTTGCCATTAATACTACTGCTTGCTCTGACACTTTGTCTGAAATAAAAACTCTTGAACATGTTCAAGTAGTACTGTCTCTTAAGCATAGACACCGTGGACATCTTAGTGTTGAGCTGATCTCGCCATCAGGTACAAGGACACAGATGTTGAAAACAAGAAGAAATGACAAATCAACCAAAGGACTAAAGGTTTTTTTATAAGTTTTTTAAAATAGCTAAAAAGTATGTTTGTAAATGACAGACTAAAAAAACCTTTGAAGTTTTTTTTTACATTTTTATTTTGTTTATCTAATCATAGTAATAAAAGCTTATAAGATCTACAAAAGAAGATCTACAAAAGAAGGGCACATCTTTTAAAAGCTGATCAAAAAAGTGAGACCTAAAACAAATGAAAAAATTGCAGCAAATTTTATTTTGATTACAAAATATGAAAAAATAAAACACAACTAAAGTTTATAAAAAAGTTCACCGGTTATAACAATAAACATAAATATAATAATCAAGCTAATATATAATAAAAGATAAAATAAAAAAAATTTTACATTAAAAAAAAAAAAGTATTTTCTTAAAGTATATGAATTTTAAATATTTCTAATATACAGGTATAAATTTTTATTAGAAACATAAAGCTGTTTTTAGTCTGTGTTTATTTTATTAGGTATTTTATAAAATAGAAGAAAAATAGATTTCACTAACTTCTATTCCATTTAAATTTTTAAGGATTGGGTGTTTATGAGTGTTCATTTTTGGGGAGAAGATCCAAAAGGAATATGGACATTAGCTGTTACAGATAACAGTAACAATAATCGCGAGCATCATAAGCGGAAAAGCAAGTATGGAGATTTTGAAGATGCAACAGAAGCATTGCAGGACGAACTTGAGTTTAACAATGATGCTGAACATGATGCAATAGTTGATGAAGCTGAAGAGTTCGAAAATACTGAAGAATTTCAAAACAAAGTGTTTGAAGATGATATTTTTCCAAAACTTTCTAAAGATAATAAACAGAAAGTTTCTGATCAGTCAAAAGATAAAACTAACGATGACAATGAGAAACTAATAGAGGAATTGCCACACAAAGAAAAATTGAAATTTAAGCAACATGAAGAATCTAAACCTGAACACAAAGATAAAAAGAAGAAAAAAAATAAATTAAGCAAGCTGAAAAAGGGCGTGCAAACTCAAACTGCACACTCTAATGAGAAAAATCCAGTAATAAATGAAGGTGTTAGACTAGGTCAAAATACTAGTCCAGAAAAACTTCCATTTATTCCAAGTCATTTTCCTATTGCAAACAACGGACAGTACGCTTTAGCTGGTGACAATGCTCCTATCATGCCAAATGATAAAAACGCTCCTATCCTGTCAGTGCCGAATCCATCTTATTCTGCTGGAATGAACAATGAAAACATTCAGCAAACTATTTCACATTCAACCGGTAACCAAGTGTCTTCTGCTTTACACAATGGATCTAATAACTCTACATCTCAACCTGTTATTACATCTGGTTCTAATATCAATCAACTATTGAACACTTCTACCAACTTTCCTTCTAGTAGTGAAGAAAATAAAATGCTTGAAAGTGTTTTAAAAACCATTCTATCAGAAACATTTGCTAATTTTCGAAATGAAAGTGAAGGCAGCTTTAAAAATTTTGATGACCGACTCAATGAGCTGGAAAATGTTTTGAAAAAATCTAATGACTCAGGTGTCAATAAAGCTGAATCAATAACTTCAAGTTTAGCTAATGCCTTTAAAGGTGGGAAAGCAATCGATAAAATTAACAATGTTTTAAATGTACTAGAAAGCAACAAAAACCAATCTAAATCCCATAATACTAGTTCATACAAAAATTCAGAAGTCGTTTCGGATGTTTTAAAAGTTCTAAAGGATATACTTTCAACTAACATTGATGATGGTAAATTAAAGCACTACAAAAAGAGAATATCGAAGTTGTTAGAAACCAGCTCAAATAAAACCCGTAAGCTAACGGACAAGCTCTTCACTGATTTGCAACCACAGGACGAAGGTAAAGATGTATCTCCTATTGTTATTACAGATGCATTGGCTCTTGTAAGTCGCCTTTTTAAAGAAAAAAAACCTATTATTCCAAAAAAAAGTACGAAGGTAGTTACATCTGAGTTACCTAAAAACGTTCGAATTGTTCTACAAGGTCCTAAAGGAGATGTCATTCTTCCATATGAAATGGTTGCTCCTGATACAAAAAAAGAAGTTACAACATTGACGTCATCAAAAGAAATGCATCATGCTGACAATACTGTTGATACTATTACAGTACAGCATAAAAATATACGTCATAAAAATAATCAAAAGGTGGTAGATGACGCTGATTTACTTAATAAAATTGACAGCCATCGTAATATAGCAGAGGAAAATGAAGACCTGTTTAATGAGAAGATAGCAGAAGAAGGCGTTTCAAATGTAAATTTCCAGTCTTCCAACAAATTAGACCTAAACAACAATATAGATGTCATAAAGAATCCTGATGTTCCAAATGAAAAAGTATTTGAGCTTAATTCTTCAGGGGAACCGGAGAGTGCTGAGAGCAACAGTTTAACAATATCTGTCGTAAAAAATGGACGTTTAATCAAAGACAATAAAATAAAGCTGGATAAACTGGAAAAAAAGTTAATTGAAAGTCCAAAAACTGAAAAAATAAACAGTGAAAATAATATCGACATAGAGGTGATGTTTGATAAAGACGTCAGTAAAGATCTTTCGGCAAAACATGGATTAAACAACTACGAAAATCTTGAAGAGATAAAAAAACTAAACGTTAAAAATGAAGCTGTTGACGTTGCAAAGTTTGGTGCTCAAGATGATTCTGGTCAGTCTAATCATTTTGAAGATGTTTCTGGTGTGCAATGGCAGGATATCTCATCTAAAAAGACTAAGGAAAAAGTGCCCGAGTCACTTTCCATTAAAGTTAAATCCAGTGAAAATAATATTAAAAACCGCAAAAATAAATTTAAAAAGAAAAAGAGTTTAAAAAGCCACAAAAGAACACACGCCAATCACCTTGACGAAATTCGCAATTACAATATTGAACCTTTGCCTTTCCTTCAGTTTGCTGATCCTAGTGATATATCTCCTCAAAATGAAGATGAAGATAGCTTCATACGATCTCTTTACGAACCCTACAATCTCCATACTAAGCAGATAGAGACTAATATTCCCGGCGAAGGTAAAGCTTCTTATTACCCTCCTAGTGATTTCCAACAGGATCGTGAAAACTGGAATATAAAAAGGTCAAATATACCGCGTCCACAAATTCATTACCATAACGAAACAAAAAAACACTTTATAAAAATTAAGCAACCTTTAGTTCGTAAATCAACTCGCATTACTGAAGAAAGAAGCAATGAGTTTGAAAGCGGAAACTTGAATGATGAAAATGATGAAAACGAAAATGATGAAGAAGAAGGTCCTCATGTTGTTAAACGTTCTGCCATATTTAGTGACTTATATTTACCTGAAAACTCAAATTTTAAGCTGAGAAAAAAATTGCGTTTCGAAAATGAGCGAAGATCAGCCGTTAAAAAAGCTTACAAATTAGAAGAAGCGTTGAAACGCAAGATTATTTCTATGAGAAAAGAAAGCTCATCAGTTTTAAATATAATTAAAAGAGTACATGACGATATTTCTATAGGTGACTCAAAAGACTTAAGGGTCCTTGAAAAGCAGTTATCACAGCTCGAAAATGCTAAGTATAACTCTTTATATAATGGCGAGTCGCAGATAGAACAAAACACTCCTTTAGTCAGGACTAAGGTTTCAAGGAAACCTCCGCGGGAGTCTAGAGACGATCCTGATGAATATTACAAATATGGAGTCACAAAGTCAGGAGAACTTGAAACATGGACATTGTTATTTTATGGAACGGGTCCTTAGCTTAAACAATCTCTTAGAAAATTTTTCAATTCTTTTTTAAATTAATTTTGTATAACTACATCTAAAAGTCGATATTCCGCTATTTGATATTTTTAAAATGGATTTGATTTTTAATTTTTTTTTCTTCGGACAAACTGAAATGCTTTATGTGCTCGCTTTTATTTCTATGAGTTTTGAATTTATCTGCATTTTCTATGCATTTGAGACTTTCCCTTATTTATTTGAGTGTTTATATGTGTTAAATAGATTATGTAAATAATTAAAATACGTGGTTAAAACTGCATTCTTTTATTTGACGATGTAAATATAACAAATTTAACTTTCTTATCACGTTTTGTGTAGATTAAAACTATACAAAAACTTCGTGTTTTCCTGAGTTAATCTGGCTCCTTTACACTACTATAACCATCCGCGCTGGTGTCCAGGCTAGAGTATTGTAAATTGTAAAAAATATTTATTATCATACCACCTGAAAATCTTTTCATTAATATTTGAAGATTTAAATTTATTTTTGAATTAATTTTATTATTTTTATTATTATAATAATATTATAATTCTAAAAGTAGTTTTTATTATTATAATAATAGATTTCAACAATGTTTTTATTTAATTTTTTTTTTTATTATTAAGATAATTATTAATTTAATATTTATGTTGATTAATTCTCTTAAATTAAATAAAAATGTATTCATGTAAAAAAAAATTCATAAAAATGCTTAGTAAAATTAATTCTTTTCAGTTTAATTTCACAAATTAAAATTATTAAAAACCGCTAGACCGCTATCATATACTAAATACAAAACATCTATCTCGATGATTGCCTATTCTCTATGTTGCTAACCTGTGCACTCGGTAATTTAATATTCATTACAAATTTCAAGTTGCAATTGTTTTAAGAGCCACTCAAAGACTTTTAAAAATAAAGTATAACAAATAAAAAGTTATAAACTTTTTCAATAAAATTTTTTATTTTGGCTACATTTCAAAAAACACGAAAATTTTTAATTTATAAACCCACTCGAATTACCAGCATATGATGCTTTGTGCACTCCTAAGACCACCATGGTAAATTTGGGTTTACTCTAATTTTTTTTTTTCTTCTAATTATTTTTTTAGTGTTTGGTAGTGTTTTGAAAAAGTTTTAAAATCTTAACTAACCCCCTGGTGACAAAAATTTGGCACAATCTTTGAGAAGCTAAAACTTATTGAATTTTTAGTTACCAGTCTTACTTTTTTTAGTTGTTTTGTTTATAAATTGTTAGTTATCTTTTACTGAAAGTTTTGTTTACTTAGATTAATTAATAAAAAAGTTATCCAAAAATGAAGCCGACTACATTAATTGAACAAGTGTACAACTATTGTGATTTACATTCTAACGCTAAAACGAAGAGCATTGTAAAGTATTTTGTTGCCTCTAATCACCCCGAAAAAACCATCAAACGTTATATGGCAAAGTGGAAGAATAATGAACCAAGTCTCGTAAGCCTGGGTCAGGCAGAAAATCAAAAATTATGACTGCTAGGAACATTAATCGCCTGAAAGTTCTTTTGAACAACCGGTCTATATCTTCAACCTCAATTTCAAGAAAAATTGCAAATAAATTCAAGTGTGATCATTCCTTCATTGTAAAAACATTAAAAACAAATATTTGTTATTTTAGGAAAAAACAAATCCCTGATTGCACTGATAAACAGTTAAAGCAGTTGCAACTAATGTGTGAAAGAATTTGTCGCATATTCAGAAACCGTGACTTCTTCATTGACGATGAGTCTTATTTTGCATTTAAACATACGAATAAAAATTCTAATGCTGGATTTTACTCAGATGAAGTAAAAAATGTAAAATATAAGCGCCAAAGCAAATTTGAAAAAAAATTCTTGTATGGATTACCATATCCCCTCGTAGAATCTCAAAACCATTTATTGTTCCTGAAAAACAGGCAATTAACCAAACAGTGCACAAAAATGATTGCATCATCAAACGATTGATTTCTTTAATCAACAAATATCACAGTAATGGTAATTATGTATTCTGGCCTGACTTAGCCTCTTTACATTATACTAGAAGTGTGACCAATTACCTCGATGAAAAAAGTATCCTTTATGTAACAAAAGTTGATAATACGGCATGTGTCCCAGAATTACGACCAATAGAAGATTTCTGGTTAATCCTTAAATGAAAACAATTATAAAAGATTCATTTGGATTGAGTTTTTTTTTATTACAATATCTTTTTAAAGTCATTTGATTTATGCTAAGCTTGCGAGCTACAACATTCACTGGCCTGCCCTCTAAAACTTCATTAACAGCTGCTTTCATTGTATCACATGATATAGCATCACTCTCTGTTTTTTTTTTTTTTTTCTATACCTAACCATTTATAGATCTGAAAATTGAAAAAAAAAAGTAAAACAAAAGGTTTTTTTAAAAAAAATATTTTATATAATAATATTATGTAAACTAATTGTAAAACTTATGTAAAACTAAAAACTAATGTTATTAATATTAATTTTTAACACATTTTAAAAATTTATATAAAGATTTTTTATTCGTCATAAGTTTAAATGTATAAAATTTAAACAAAAAATTTAAGTCTTATAATATGAGTTATATGGGGCACTTTGATCCTCCGATCAATGAGCCCCACATAGTCAATAATCAATGTGCCCCATTAGATACTGTTGATATATTGATGCCAATAACTTCTATAAACACAGTAACCAACTCAAAAAAACAAATTTATTATAAACTTAACACATATGAGTTTACAATACATATGGAAATCTAATTGAAATCTAATTAAAAATTTATTTGAATTTGTTTACATCTTTCAAAAATCACTTTTCATGATGAAAAACTGTATTTTCAATTTTTTTATCGCTAAAGTTGATCTTATCAAAAATTATTGCAATTTAGCAATGAAGGGTAGTATAATGGTTAATTAAATTGCAATCTCTTTTAAATTAAGGCAAAAGTAAACGAGTAAAAGTTAAAAGATCATACTGCCCCGGCGATCAATGTGCCCCCATCTACCCTACTTCCTATGAAAAAATAAGTTCTGATATTAAATGGGTTCTAACAACTGTTATGAATAAATTGTCAAACAATTAATCTGCTAATATGAGCGAATTATTTATTTGTATTCTAGATTGTAAAGTGGCAAAAGAATTAACAATAGGAAGAACAAAAATAGGATATATGATTAATTATTGGTTAGCACCATATTTTAAATCATTACTTCTTGAAAGTGTCTGAATTTCACTATCTTGTCTCATTTGATGAAAGTCTAAACAAAGTTACACAAACAAACAAGTATGATTTTAGTATACTCTAGAAAACCAAGTTAATGTGCGATATTTGAATTCAGTTTTTCTTGACCACTCTTCTGCAGCACATATACTAAAAATTTTCAATTAAGAAAAAGAAAGTCTTGACATCAAAAATGATTCAAGTATCTATGGATGGGCATAATACAAATTGAAAATATTTTAAAGAACTTTCCATATACCGAAATTAGTGTGAATTAAATTCTTTATTTGACATTTGGAGTTGTAGTTTCCATGTAATACATCAAGGAATTTATAAAATATTTTTAAGGAAGCATACCAGATCTTGCATGGTACTCCGGCTAGTAGAGATAGATGACTACAATAGTGTCACGAGTCAAATCGGTACCATTAAGTTTCTGGTCAACTAAATGGATTGAAGCCAAATTATTGTAGGTCGTTTAATTGAAATATGGGAAACAATTGTTAAATTAATTAGATTTTGGGAAAAATTTTAAAAGTCTAAACAGCCTCAAAAAGTTTTTTTTATTTGTTCAAAAAGCGTCAAATGTCTTCCTGACAGTTTCAAAATTTTTCAGTTATGTTGCCAGCTTGATTAAAACCTACTTGACACTCTATCAGACTGATCAACCAATGATTTCATCCATTTACAATGATCTTAGATAACAAATTGATAACAAATATTTTAGCTCTAATTATTAAACCTTTAGTAGTTCAAAGCTGAAAAAGTGATTTAAATAAATAGATCTCTACAAAAAAAGAGATTTCGCTACTCAGGAAAAATAAAATTATTGGTTTTGGGTCTAAAGTTTTAATAAAAGAAGTCTTTATTAAAGATAAAACCAATTTTAATGATGTAAAGTTTAGAAAGAATGTAAAATAGTTTGAAAAATTTATAAAATAGTTTAGAGTTTTATTTCTCATAAAAGGTATGGAAACTTTGCTTAAACGCATCCCACTAGACTCTGCAATCATAGCGAATGCAAGTTGTTTTGAAATTGAACTCAAAACATTAACAATTGAATCTAAATAAACTAAAAAAGATTGTTTTCTTGCTAATTTAAATACCTTTTTTTTTTTGTTCTTTATTACATTTTAAAACATCACGTTAATATTTCATAAAATTTACAATCTAAAATAAAAAAATATAAACAACTAGAAGTGAAGATATTTAATATGTATATTTATAAAAAGAACACGAAAACTCGTAGAAGACCGTATGGTCTTGTCCACGAGTACCACTGTAAAAAGACGTTGTTACATTCTTTCAAGTTAAATATTTTACGTAGTAAATAAAGATGTAAGTGTTTCACAATAGTAAAAGAATAACAAAATTTAAATTTAAAAAATTACAAAAAAGTAAAAAGCTCACAAAATATTTCCTAAAGATAATTTGACAGATAATATAATAGCAATATAGGCTTGCAGATCGTAAATAATTGAGTTACAAATCATATCAAGAAAAATCATACATTATAAATCATATAAACTATTGGCGTAGAATGCGCTGGGGCTCGGGGGCTCGAGCCCCATCCGGAAATTTATTGCTGAGGTTTTACCCCACCCTGGAAAATTCACCAAGCTTTTTCGAATTTTAGAAATTTCACGCTTCTGATAAGTCTTAAGGGAGTTTGAGATCGATGAAAACGTAACAAAAAGCAAATTAACGGAGCTACATAAACTAAAGTGTTGTGTGATTTTAGTATTTAAATTTTTTAAATACCAAACACACAACTTAAATTAATCATACAACTTAAATTAAACGTTCGTTTAGTATTTTTTTTCTTTGATAACTTTGGCAGTATTATTTGTATTAATTATTTATATGTTTTCAATTAAAAATCATTTGAATTAAAAAAACGTAAGTTTTTAAAGAAACTTTTAAATTGTTCAATAGTATATTAACTTTTAAGTAATAAGCTGTACGAACTTTTAAGTCATAAGCTGTACGAACTTTTAAGTCATAAGCTGTACGAACTTTTAAGTCATAAGCTGTACGAACTTTTAAGAAATAAGCTGTACGAAGTTGTGCAATAATAAGATTAGAGAAAAAAATAATCTTTTCAAAAAAA